TCAGTCATATCATCATCATCCTGATCATTCATATCATCATCAGTCATATCATCATCATCCTGATCATTCATATCATCATCAGTCATATCATCATCATCCTGATCATTCATATCATCATCAGTCATATCATCATCATCCTGATCATTCATATCATCATCAGTCATATCATCATCATCCTGATCATTCATATCATCATCAGTCATATCATCATCATCCTGATCATTCATATCATCATCAGTCATATCATCATCATCCTGATCATTCATATCATCATCAGTCATATCATCATCATCCTGATCATTCATATCATCATCAGTCATATCATCATCATCCTGATCATTCATATCATCATCAGTCATATCATCATCATCCTGATCATTCATATCATCATCAGTCATATCATCATCATCCTGATCATTCATATCATCATCATCCTCATCATTCATATCATCATCATTTATATCATCATCCTCATCATTCATTTCATCATCATCATCGTCCTCCTCATCATTCATATCATCATCATCATTCATATCATCGTCCTCCTCATCATCATTCATATCATCATCATCCTCATCATCATCATCCTCATCATTCATATCCTCAGCATCCTCATCATTCATATCATCCTCATCATCATTCATATCATCGTCCTCCTCATCATCATTCATATCATCCTCATCATTCATATCATCCCCATCCTCATCATCATCATTCATATCATCATCGTCCTCCTCATCATCATTCATATCATCATCATCCTCATTCATATCATCATCGTCCTCCTCATCATCATTCATATCATCCTCATCATCATTCATATCATCACCATCATCCACCTCCTCATTCATTTCATCATCATTCTCCTCATCATCATTCATATCATCCTCATCCTCATCATCATCATCATCATCATTCATATCATCATCATCCTCATCATTCATATCATCATCATCATGATTCATATCATCACCATCATCCACCTCCTCATTAATTTCATCATCATCATCGTCCTCCTCATCATTCATATCATCATCATCCTCCTCATCATCATCATTCATATCATCGTCCTCCTCATCATCATTCATTTCATCATCATCATCGTCCTCCTCATCATTCATATCATCATCCTCATCATCCTCATCATTCATATCATCCTCATCATCATCATCCTCATCATTCATATCCTCATCATCATCATCATTCATATCATCATCATCCTCATCATTCATATCATCATCATCCTCATCATTCATATCATCATCATCCTCATCATTCATATCATCATCATCCTCATCCTTCATATCATCCCCATCCTCATCATCATCCTCATTCATATCATCATCATTCATATCATCATCATCCTCATCATCATCATTCACATCATCCTCATCATCATCATCCTCATCATTCATATCATCATCATCATGATTCATATCATCACCATCATCCACCTCCTCATTCATTTCATCATCATCGTCCTCCTCATCATCATTCATATCATCATCCTCATCATTCATATCATCATCTTCCTCATCATTCATATCATCATCATCATGATTCATATCATCACCATCATCCACCTCCTCATTCATTTCATCATCATCGTCCTCCTCATCATTCATATCATCATCTTCCTCATCATTCATATCATCATCTTCCTCATCATTCATATCATCATCTTCCTCATCATTCATATCATCATCTTCCTCATCATTCATATCATCATCTTCCTCATCATTCATATCATCATCTTCCTCATCATTCATATCATCATCTTCCTCATCATTCATATCATCATCTTCCTCATCATTCATATCATCATCTTCCTCATCATTCATATCATCATCTTCCTCATCATTCATATCATCATCTTCCTCATCATTCATATCATCATCTTCCTCATCATTCATATCATCATCTTCCTCATCATTCATATCATCATCTTCCTCATCATTCATATCATCATCTTCCTCATCATTCATATCATCATCTTCCTCATCAT